CACGGAAGCCAAGAAGCCTGTGTCTGGGGTGAAGGCAGGGAGGTGTTCTTACTGGCATTGCAAAATGGAGATGATGTGAGTCGTGTTTGGTTGTATTTATCTATTTTTAAACGTTTTCTGTGGGGACACATCTAGCTGAGGGCATGTGGTTATACAATGGAAACGCTCTGTTACTCGTTTGCTCTTGCACCTTGCGTTCTCTTGCTCTATAGCCTTGTCTACATTGGGCGTTGAGTTGGAGTAAAACGAAGGCAAAAGGAAGAAGAAAGCGGGCTTGGAGGTTTAGAGGCAGAAAGAAGCAGTAAGTCATTGGACAGTGATGATAAAAGGAGCACGTTTGCTAGCTGAAATCTCACAAACAGGGAAGGAAAAAGCTTCTTTATTCATGCCCTGCCAGTTGGCAGATCTCTTTCTTTGGAGAGCATTCAGCCTTGAGTGTTGCTTGTTGCAAGCACAATAATTACTTAACTAACTTTCCAAGAAATGGTGCAGTTGTGGTCACAGCTGTGGCTTTAAGGTATGTTTGTTTGATCATGTGAAGAGACTCTGTATGTCATGATGGCTATTAAAAAGAAAGAAAATTTTAAAAAATCCAAACAAAACACATCTTGTCATGGTCTCACATGCAGCATTATTATTTTAACAAGCCACCAGGGTTGTTTTCTCACCAAAGAACATATACTTAGTATGTCAGCTGAGCTTTATTATAGCAGAGGGTGGATCTTCTACCCACAATATATTTCTTCAAAATATTCTCCACAGTGTGAGGTTTTCCTGTCTCTAGCTCTACTGTATACATCCTTCACTGTTTTGTTGGTGAATTATTCCTGGAATGTCAGTGTTTGAGGATGTTTAGTTATACCTTCCTCCCTCTCCCTTTTTTCTTTTGTTATATATGGGGAGTCTCTGCAAATGACCAGCTTTGCTGCATTGCATCTATTCTTATCTCTAAAACATGAATACCAAGCTGCCTGTGTTATGATCTGTGAAGAACAGGAATAGGTGATGTGGTTGAGCACTGCAGCTCTTAATGTTTTTTTTGGTAATCCAGTTTTTAAAAGGGTCTGGGAGCTTTAATGCCCTAACTGATGCATTAAAAAAACCCCCACACCTTTCCTAAGAGTTTGTCCTCTAAGGATAAAGATTCAACTTTTTTTAAGGTGTATCAAGCTAAGCGCTGGGAATAATTAGTCGCTTTTAGAATTTCAGATAAGTGAATATAAACCTTATCTATATTTTATATATAATGCTTGTATATATGTGCAGACACATGTCTGTGTTAGTGCCTACCCATACTAGAAACTTTTAATATAATTGTTTTAGTATAGGGAGGATATGCAGCTTGTAGAGGTGGTTTGCAGCGTAACATGCATTTTTTACTTCCTCCACTAATGTTAAAGAAGAGTAACTGCCTTAACCAGATTGGAATCAGAGTGTGAAATTGTCATCTGAAGCCTTGTTGTGTCTCAAGACACAGCTTCTACTTGAACACATGATATATTAAGACTTGCAGCAGCTTTTCTGGGGGAAGAAAAAAACAAATATTAAAACAGTTGTGGCTTTTAAAGTGTGCTATGTCTTCAAAATAAGTAAATTTAAAATGTGGCTCACCAGGCCATTGGGAAATATATAGCTGTACCTGTACACTCAAATGGAAAGTGGCTACGTTGCTTTTCACTCTTGAGTGGGAAGTGCTGCTCCTTACAACAGAGCTGCATAGCAAAATGTTTGGAGGATGAGGGTGGGATTCAAGGGAGATGATTTAAAAAAACTAACCAAAAATTTAGTTGAGACCAGTTTTTCTAAAGGGTCTGCCATGCCTCACTTTCTGCCGTAGGGATTGTTAAACTTCAGGGTACTTCAGAAAATCTGGCCACTAGCATGAATGAGGGTTGTACTCCTCTGGAATATCACCCTAGCGTGCATATGATTTACTGGGAGTTTAAACTCTTCCTGTTTTAAATGGTGTTTTACCTGGGGGAAAAACCATCTCTTACCAATCACATCACATCCCCCTGTACATTACAGCAACCTCTTGTGCAGAATATGAACACAAGGAAAGTAATTAATGTATTTTTAGCATTTTAAATGAAATTAGCACTAGGAAAGATGACTGTGGTCTATGGGGAGCAGACTGTTCAGGAGCCCTTTTAGAAAGATATCCCAAATTAATATTTAGCTCATGACAATGTCATTGTAGTTCAAGTCATGCAGTAACAAGTGAAATCTTTTCCGCTTAGAGGCAACACCCACTTGTACTAGCAGGGAATGTGATCTTTGGGACTTCAGGTTTGCGGCTGTTGTACTGCTTATATCTTCATAGCAAGGTAATTCCCCAGGCTGAGAGAAATGGCAGTCCCAGATTTCTGCTGTTTCAGATGTCAGTTTTGAAATGATTCCTTGCCTTAGTGTTGCCACATTCAGGGTGTTGCTTATGCTGTTGTGTTTTTTTTTTAGACAGAACATGAAGTTCACTATATATAGCAGTTGTGCCATTTAAAGCA